TATTGCGAAAGGTGGTTCTAATTCTAAATGAAGTGAAATACTTCAACAATCTACAAAAATAATCATTTTATTTACAAAGCAACTTTGATTGCATCGAAGGTTCACTGCTAACTAACTACGTCGCAAACTAAAAACTAACATTCCTTTTTCAGAAGCGAAGCGCCCTCTAACGGCGATACATAAATCATTTGGGGGATTTTTCCACACTCCCCACCTGATAATTTTTGCAAAAATTATCACTATTTCAGCATACAAATAATAAAATATAAGAAAGCAACTTACATATCAAATACATTCAACTGATGTAAATATAAACTGCAAAAGGAAATTCTATAAAATAAACAAATATAGTTAACTGCATCAACTCAAATGTTACTCAATACGTAAATATTAATTCAAATTACAAACAGTAAATTATTAGTAATAACTAAACTAATTATCTAAAATTAATGTTAGTGAATATGAAATATAAGAAGTAAAATTAAAAGGTTACAAATTTAGTTCATTTTCAGTCTGATAGTTCAAGGGGGTATATCAATTGCACAGGTCTCTTAAGGTCCCCTTTTTTAGTTTTTACCACACATGATCGTACAAGACCATCACGTCCTTTGAAGACTTGAATTACTCGACCTAAATCCCAGAGGAACTTAGATTTAGTTGTTCCTTCAAGTAAAACTATATCACCAATTTTAAGATTTTTCTTGGCTTCTGGTGTACCGAAGAAGTGAGCATTTCTCAACTCAAGAAGATACTGATTTTTCCATTTTTTCCAGAACTGTTTTATAAGTGTTGTCTGATATTCTTTTCGTTTTATTAGACTCTTTCTTGTTGGAGAGTTATTCAGGATCTCAGCAAAGTTGTATGGATATTCATCCTTATGTCCGATCAATAGAAAATCAGCCGGTGCAAGCGGTTCAGGTTCATGTAAATCGTTGTAAACGTAGGTCAAAGGACGTCTATTCACAATATTTTCGACCTCTGTCAACACAGTCATAAATTCTTCAAAATTCAGTTGAGCTCTGCCTAATATCTTTTTCAACGGTTCCTTTATGGTTTTCATAAGGCGTTCATAAAAAGCTCCCCACCATGGAGCAAGCTCGACGATAAATTTCCAAGTCAAGCCTTCATTTGCTAGAAAATTTTGAAAGTCTGTACCTTTAATTATGCTGTAAAAATACTGTAAATCTTTGGCAGCATATTTGAAAGTTTTCGCGTTATCTGAATAAAAGGTGCGACAGTTTCCTCTTCTCGAAATGAAACGTCTGAGAGCCAAAATGAATTTGTTTGCAGACATATTGGAAATGAGTTCTAGATGTAACGCTCGTGTAACAGCGCACGTAAACAATACGATGTATGATTTCTGAATGTCGTTTCCAGACCTGATGTAAACTGGACCTGTGAAATCCACGCCTGTAACATAGAAAGGTGGAGTTTCAACAATTCGATCTTTAGGTAACTGAGCTGTCATTTGTTTCGCTGGTTTTACTGCGTATTTCCGACAAATTAAACAGTTCCCTAAGACTTTCTTTACCAACTGACGGCCTTTAGGAATCCAAAATTTCTGTCTTAGTTTGGCTAAAGTTGCTGCAACTCCCGCATGCAGAACGTTATTATGTTCCCTTTTTACAATTAATTCAGTAAATTTGGAATCTTTAGGAAGAAGAACTGGATGCTTCTCGTCAACTGTATATTCGGTTTCTTCTAATCTTCCCTTAATTCGAAGAATTTTATTTTCATCAAGAAACGGTGCCAAGCTGAATATATCAGAGCTTGGAGAAATTGACTTGTTAGATTGAAGAGCCTTAATTTCAGGTGTGAAGAAATCCATCTGGGATTTACGAACACAAAAAATTTCAGTGTCCTGAATTTCAAAGCACTTAATGTTCCACTATTAGCAGGCAGTTTTCTTGCCTTAGCAACGAAACGTCTAACCCATGCCATAATTCTGAGATATTTCAGCACATTACTGAATTTTGTTATATCCAATAGTTGATCATCTCTTTTCACAACAACGTCATAAACAGATATCTTACTACGGAGTTCTAGTTGCTTATCGTTTCCCACGTCAAACTTCGGTTGAACTGGCCAGTCTATACGTTTGTTTTGCAACCATTCTGGTCCAAACCACCAAAGTGAACAATTTCTTAAATTAGCAACAGTAGTTCCTCGTGATATGAGGTCGGAGGGGTTATCTTTCCCACGGCAATAATGCCAATTATTGCTTTCAGTTAGTTTCTGAATTTCATAAACTCTGTTTTTGATGAAAGATTTAAATCTTTCGGGAGATCCCTGAATCCAAAAATACGTTATTTGAGAATCAGTCCAGTGGAAGGGGATTACTTCGTATTTTAAAGATTTTGCTATTTTATCACTCAATCTAGCGGATAAAAGCGCACCCAAAAGCTCCAATCTAGGAAGTGTAAGGGATTTCAGAGGTGCAACTCTACTCTTGGAAGCAACAAAAACTGTTTGAAAAGTTCCATTGTTCAAAACTATTCTCAGATATACCACGCATCCATAAGCTTTCAAACTAGCATCAGAAAAGCTATGGAGTTCTATTTGTTTCACATCTGCATCTAATATTCCTTCTAAATAGTAGCGGGGAATTCTGAGGTGGTTCAGTTCTTCAATTTCTTCGTACCAGGCTTTCCATTTATAACTAAGATCAGGTGGCAGTTCATCGTCCCAATCAATTTTGGCAGACCAGATTTCCTGAATCAGACACTTTATTCTTATAGTGAAAGGGCCATAAAATCCGACAGGATCAAAAATACGGCCTGCGGTTTGCAATAGAAAACGTTTTGAGTTGATTGACGAGGAAATGAAATTTGTCAAGTGCTGAGTGTCAAAATAAAAATTATCATTATCCGTATCCCAGTTAATTCCTAACACTTTGATCGGGACAACTTCAGGAGATTCTTGCATCGAAAATTCTTTGCGATGCCAAATATCTTTGAGTTCTTTGGAATTAGTATGCCACTTATGTAGTGACATGCTAGCTTCATTAAAAATGTTCACAATTTCTAAACTTGTTTTCAGGGCTTGTTCTAAATTTTGGTTGACCACCAATAATGTCATCAACATACAGGTAGTTGTTTAAGAGTTCTACTGTTTCAGGATATATTTCTGAATATTTTTTAAGGTGATGCTTAATAGTAGCAGCTAGGAGAAAGGGACTAGATTTTACTCCAAACAAAACTCTTGTAAATCTAAAGGTTTTCAAACTTTCATTGTTATCATTAGGATCATCTTTCCAAAAGAATCGTGTAACGTCCCTGTCTTCTTCATTTAACTCTATCTGTAAGAATGCTTGTGTAATGTCCGCTGTAAAGGCTATCGAATTTTGTCTAAATTTTATCAATAAATCAAAAATATCAGGATATAGGTTCGGACCAGTATATAAACAGTCATTTAGAGAGAGTGTTTTTGGTTTATGGGCTGAAGCATCATAAACTATTCTTAGTTTGCTTGTTGCTCTATCATTTCTGATGACTGCTCTATGAGGTAAATAAAATAGGGTTTTATCATTTTGATTGTCTTCTTGAACTGGTTCAATAATATGTTTTAACTCGTAATCCTTTAAAACCTCTGTGTATTGAACAAACAAAGAGTTATCAATTTTAAATTTGTTACTCAATTTCTTAAATCTTTCAAGTGCTATATCCCTATTATCTTCCATTAAATGTTTTGAATTCGGTTTCCAAGGTAATTTTACTTGGTATCTGCAGTTCTTATACCTGATATCAGATTCGAAAGATTTCATAATTTCTAAATCAACAGTTTTGTCGTTTTGAGTATCACTTTCCAAACCCAAGTTTTCTAGCTTCCAAAACTGTTGTAACTGATCTGATATCAAGTTTTCATTTACAATTACTTTCATAGTTAATAATTCACTATGATCTTTATTTACTTTACCCTGCAAACACCCACCCAAATAAAGATTCTGTGGCTACTACATTTCTTGAAATTCTTTTAATTTTACCAGTAATTATAGAATAGTAGAAATCTACCCCTATGAGAATATCAATTTTGTCACTTTTTCTACAACAATCTGCTAATTGTAAATTTTGTAAAATTTTATTTTCTTAGCAAAGTTCAAATCTGGAGGAGAGATAACAGTATTGGATATATTTTCGGTTTCAAGAAGCTCAATATATATTAAGATTAGGATCGTTTACATTTTCTAGTTTTGCTCTAACAACATTAAAGGTTTTTTTTTTTTTCTAACGCACTTTTATCACCAAAGGAATAAACAGAAAGTGATTCTTTTCTAACAATCGGAAGTTCCATTTTAGTAGATACATCTTTAGTTATGAAAGATCTCATTGAGCCATTATCAAAAGAATTCTGACATTTTCAGATTTATCATTATTTCGAATCAATGCAGAAGCCGTTTGTAATAATATTTTATTAGATCTATTTTCATCGGAATTATATGACGAAACAGCGGAAATAACGCTCGAATCCGACGTTTTCTTTTCAGGTTTTTCATTATCTCTTTTCTGATGGAATGAATAACAAATGGCTTTCGAGTGTTTATTAAAGCAGAAGGCACAGTTTATTTTTTGTTTACAATTTTGAATCCGGTGAAACCGACCTAAACATAAAAAACACCGCGATTCACTTTTTAAGATCTCCTTTTTCTTTTCTACACTTAAAATTTCACAATCCGCAGATTTATGATTTGTGTTCCCGCAGAACAGACACTGTGATTCGGATGACGCCGCTAATAACTCAACTGTAGACGGCTTGCTCGTTATGGCTGGAAAATGTTTATGTTTGAAGGGCAAATGCTTTTCCAATCATGAATATTTTTCTCTAGAATTATAATTAACAGAAGCCGCGCGTTCTCTACTGAATACTTCGTTCCTCAAAAAGGCTAAAAAACCTTTTAAATCACAATTTTCGTCTTTAATTTTTCGGCTATAATCAAGAACGAATTCATTAGGAAGTAATTTCAAATTAAAGGCGTTAAGAAGAAGATTCCGTAGGTATCAGAGTCTATTTTTAATGCTTCAAAGATTTCTTATCTGTACTTCGGCGTGATCTAGAAGTTTTCTTAATACCGTTTATATCATTAGGATTTCTAACAGGTGAAGTACTTAAGAGTTGTCCCTAAATGTGAATTAATTAAGATGTTCTTTTGACCAAATCTTGGAACGTAACAGTTCAAGAGCGGCGCTTCGTAATTATTTTCGATGAGAGCGAAACCAGAAATAGCTTTGGCGCTGAGCCACCAAGAAAGCTTTTTAAGTAAATTAAATTTTTCTATTTTTGATAAATTCGGATTTTATCAATCGCATTTTCGAACTGACCTATGATAAAGTCTAACCAATCCGAAGAATCACCATAAAATTTAGAGATCGTTAATTTTGGAAGACGAGTGAATTTGTTACTTTCGTTTTGGGATTCTGTAACGGTTTCATTAGAAATGTCTCTATTTGCATTGTCCGAATTTTCGAACTTATTCAACTCTTTCAATTTTTTCTTTCCTCTAAACTGCCACACTTGAATTTTCTCTTCATATTCCAAAGCGGATGAGATTTCAAGTTCAAATTCGTCTTCTTCGACTTTTAATTCTCGTTCTATTTCAGCGTCTAAATTGCTCAAGGATTTTGATTTTTCGTTTAACTGGTCTAAAATTTCTTCTAATACATTTACATTTATACTACTATCATCTTTATTCAGTTCGGTTTCAATTTTCTTTAATATCTTGGACACTCCGGTCCTCAATACCTTTCATTTCGATTTCAGTTTAGCAATAAGATCTTCCATATTATATAAAAATAGAAATACAGGCTTACCTTGGCTGTCTTCGCATAAAATGATATCCAAAATTAAAAAACACAAACTTCTAAATTGGCCAAAGGTTCTCGGCACCGATGCACCATATTGCGAAAGGTGGTTTTAATTCTAAATGAAGTGAAATACTTCAACAATCTACAAAAATAATCATTTTATTTACAAAGCAATTTTGATTGCATCGAAGGTTCACTGCTAACTAACTACGTCGCAAACTAAAAACTAACATTCTTTTTCAGCAAAGCGAAGCTCCCTCTAACGGCGATATATAAATCATTTGGGGGATTTTTCTACAGTAAGCAAGGCTAGATAAACAGCCAGATGTGTTAAAAATGTCTTCAAACACAATAATGGGGTTAAATTCTGTTATTATAAGATACCACAAACAATTATTGAGCTTCTATTATCCTGCACAATTGCAACTTTATAGCAGTTTAACACAGCTAAAATGTTAACACAAGTGAACAAGTGCTTAACAATGCGATGAATTTTTCTTTTATCTGTATACTTAGCTCATAAATTTGCAAGACAATCATGATATCGAAACACATTTGTTGGCTTAGATACTGCTTGTGAGAAAATTTATAAATATGTTGTTTATATTCAGTATCTCTTAGCCTTGATGTGAACTCAGCCTTGATGTGAACTGGACCAATTATGTGCCCCATGCCTTGCATGCCATCAAATTTAATTAGTTTTTATGATTTACATCAACAGTTTATACTTCTTAACTGCCGCGGGCGTATATATATATACGCCTTGCTCAGCTGATGTGTTAACTGCCCCAGGTGTATATATATGCCCTTCCAAGATACTATCATTTGCTTTGCATTGCTATCCGTAAAATTATTCGCAAAGCTTTGGAATGCGACATCACAATGACCTTGACAAAGTATGCGAAGGAGGATACTATTTCAGAGAAGTGTGGGGAGAAATTGGAGAAAGGGGTGTGTCTGAAGCGGTAAAAGTAATGACTGCGCGGTATTGGCTGGTGTTGTTTGAGTAAAACGTATTTTTTTAAATTCTGTGTCCTCCGTTTTTGTTTACATTTTGTAGCAGGTTCCAGGAATAAAGAAAGATATAATGGATGTTTCAAACCCATCTATTTTTTTTTAAAATTATTTTTTGATGAACTGCTCATGCTTCATATTGTTACTGAAATTGTTTTGTAGACGAATATATGAACCAACAAGGGCAAACAAAAAATCAAGAACAAAATCATGGCATTCAACCAGTTCAGAAGCAATATATGCTTTTTTAGGCATACTGATTTCACAAGGTATAACAATGAAACCTGATATTACACTTTACTGGTCTAAAAATGAATTGATTGAAACTCCATTTTAGGGATAATTTTTATTATACTTATATCTTTTTATTATACTTTTACTCAAAATATTAAATTTGGTGCATTCATTTTTTTTCTTTTATTCTTTATTTTGTGAAAGTAAAACAGTTTTTTAGAAAGTAAAACTTGCACTTATTTTCCCCCTAATACATCGCATAACTACGCGTGCCTGTGTGAAACACCGTGGCACTGGGAAATGAATCTTGTAAGTTTTCCGTGGCAGTTAAGGGGTTAAGCGGCACAGTTTACTAAATGATGATTTGTGTATTGCAAATCCTAATGCCAATTTAAAACTTTTTAGTAAAATAATAAGTAATTAATACATTAATTAATCCCAAAATAATAATTAAAAATTAATGCTAAATTAAACTATTTTTGCAATTCTGAATTCATTGTGTAATTTTTCATAAGAATATTTTCATAACTACTTTCTTGGTAAAACATAATCTCTTACAAACAAGTATACCTTTTGTGCTCAATTCCTATTTTCCACAACCATTTTTTAGCTATTTTAAATTTTGTAAAACTGCTGGTAGCTCTATTGATTAGCAACTTTTGAGTTCAAGAGTTTTTCTTAGAATTCGCAATGCTTTTTTCGATTCAATTGATGTTCGCATAGCATCACTTTTGCTGTTAGTTTCTACAGTTCTTTTAATCCTTTCTAGTCAGTGTTTACACACATTGTCTCAATATTTTTGTAAACTGATATATATTATAAAAATGAATCTCCATAACTTCCCTTGCTGATGTCTCAAACATTAACTACTGACTCTAAGGCTTCTTCTACATAAAAGCTACATTTTCGAAAACAATTTTTAACTCATTTTAAGAGCTTAATTGATTATAATATGCATGGTCTCTGACAAAGCTATCGACTTACTTATTTCAAAGTGAATTTACACAATGAATTTACTTATTTCAAAGCATTTTTACAAAATTCAGTTGATTTCATCCATTTTCTGAACATCACTTCTATAATGACATCTGAAACCTTTTATAGCACTCTGGTGTAAAAGCTAAATATCAGAAGTTGTATTTGCAGGAAGAAACACTGATGTTTTTTAGAGATCAGAGGTGTGTATGCTGCAGAGTTATTTTATTATTTATTATTCGCTGTCCCATTTCAAAAGAAAATCAATAAAAATAATACTTGACATCTATGAGTTCTTACTACTATAGTAAAGTTAGTGGAAAATTCTTGACTCCTTTCAAATACTGGTGCTTTCTGCTTTTATGAATAACCAATGCCGTCTTCTTAATTGTTGGATCCATACTACATTTTCTAAATATATAACATGCTAAATCATTTCTTCAGTTTCTTAAACCAGCTTCCCTTTCAATTTTAAATGTTAAAGTGCATTCTGGTAATATTCTCTAATGCAGTATTCATCTGTATTACAAATTTCATATAGCTTGCATTCATTTGGCAGTTCAAGTAAAAAGTATTATATCCAATCATCAGTTGCATGATGATTTAAGTCTTTCTTCTCACCATACAGTTTCTGGCAAACAATGTTGAATTTCTTTTTCTCCATCTGAGTCATCTGTCAGTTGACACAAAATTCTCACCTAGCACTTATTAAATTAGTGACAAAAGTTCTAGAAATAGAAACTTTCCAGCTTTATAGCTTGAAACTATTCTAGAAAAGCAGTTTCAATGTCCCTTGGTTTTCTATCTTTTATGCACTTCTTTGACACATTTGCCTTTTCTGCTAGTTCTTTATTAATTATAATTCTTTATTAAGTAAACTGTATAGTGCTGTTTGGGAAATTCCCATTAAAAGTGTAGTTTTTCTCCAGCTGCAGTTATCAAGAATATCAAAATCATTTAACAGTTTATCCTTTTCTTTCAGGTTTTCATCTTTTTGCTCGGCATTTTCGACATGTTACAAGTTAAGCCCACAACGCTTCTTCCAGTGATTTATGCAGACTTCAAAACTTACATTTCTAGGCAGCAAAAAAATTGCCCATTGTGTATTTTGTCGATCTGCCATTTCATGATTACAAGCATGACCAATGCTTCTTGGTATTTCCTTCAGCCTACATTTATCATGCTCTTTACTTTCAAAGACTGCTAATGTACGGTAATGCGAAGAAGCATTTCATGGACATTTGTATAACTCTGTGATTATAAAATGTCTATCCCAAAGGGAAGATTCTGAATGTAGAAATCTTAAAAGATAGGATAAAGTTGCACTTCCACCTTCCATTAGCTAGTATTTGAGGAGGAACCTTCATTCATTTATAATGACTCTGAGGATAATTTTTGCTAATCTTAAAATGTGGAAATTCTGGCCGTTTGAACTGCAGTGCAGACAAAGAATCCTGAAAATGGCATCTCATAGGTATATAGGGTTCAGGGATAGGAAAATTTAGGTTAAATCCATTTTATTGAAGCACTACATACCTCAACAATAAAGCATCAGTCCACAATACATTAAATGGATGGACTATGAAAAGCTTTGACAGGTACAAGTAGGACATTCTGGCCCTGAAGAATCAGTCTTTTGATAATCTGAGTTTTATAAATGGTCAAGATGAGTTTAATAAATGGCATTTTTTCTATTTATTACTATGTATTTGTTTCAGTTCCTTGAAATTTGAATGGTACAAGCAGCTAAGTTTATTAATGAGTGATTTTATTAAGCAGTGAACACAGTATTTTAAATTTTTTTTAATTCTTTAGTACCTTACTGGCAGCACCATTTTTATTCAAAATTGCATTGCATCTAATATAATTAACTTTTAAAAGAAAAATATTAATGAAAGTATCAATATTTTTTTATCACTCTGTAACATCTAATATAATTAAATTTTTAAACATTTAACGAACATAATGCCTACAAGAATGTTCATAACATAAGAACATTCTGTTAATCTAATTAAGTTTAACCCTTTCGGTCATAATGGGCACATACGTCCCAGAGATTAGATTTCATCGCATATTTGGTAAATAAAGTCCACTTTGGTCCACAAATGGGTTTTTATATTTGCAGTTTTTTTAAGGAATTAGGGAACAAATACATGACTAAACCTGGCAACATTTTTAAATTGCAAATGGACCACTTATGTTTTTGAGCACGCCGATTATTAAATTTCGATTTGTGCATTTAAAAATATTTTTACAGTAAATACAATTATATCTAACGCATGCTTAGTATGAGTTCTTATTGTTCCTATTAAGTAGTAATTTAACTTTTTTAATGTCACAGTTAAGAAATTTTGAATAAATTCTTTTTGTGGCCTATATTGTCCCAATCACATTGAACAGTGGGTTAATATGTCCCATCAGTGATCAAATTATTACATGCTGATATATTATGCTTATGTTTATTAAACATACATGAAAATTTTTGTTAAATATGAACTGGTGCATGTGGCAGCATTTATATCTTGTAATATTCACATTATATATTACCACAAATTTTAGTTTTGTTTTCTGAGAAAGGGTAATATTTTAGACGATTGGGCCATATTGTCCCAGATTTCCAGAAACAGGAAAAGTTAAAAAATTGAAACTCATATTACACTTCTTTTAGTATGTCAACATTAAATTAAACTACTTTTCATAGTTAAATTTTAATCATGCAAAAGTTGGGTTGAAACGGTTAAAGTGCATATAATCCTGAAATATTATTTAAATTATTATCATAAAAATAAGAACAAAGATTTGATATAAAATTATCTTAATTATGAATAAATGAGCTTCTTTTTATAAAATAAATACTAAAGTCTCATAAATTCTTAATTCTGTTCACAATCATTTATTTTAAACACATTTATGAGTAATATTTTTTATTTGTAACAATTTGGTTTATTTTAAAAGCAAATATTTAATCTTTTGTAATTTAAAAGACTTTATTAATATTAATCTGAATTATATTTTTACAAATCTATTTAAATCATTACAAATTACAAATTTCATTTGTTATGTAATATTTTAAAAGCAAATATTTTCTCTTTTGTAACTTAAAAGACTTTAATAATATTATTCTGAATTATATTTTTACAAATCAGACAATTTATTTTATTTCACAATTAAAAAATTTGCACATTGTATTTAAAATATATAAATTAATCAATGAAGGTAAATGCATACAAATCTATGAAGACAAAAATGCTTCTAATAAATACATCAGCAAGCAGTTAAATAAATTACGAAGTGCAAATAAAGTAAACATGCTATAAATTATCAAGCTAAATTTTAGCTGTCTGAAGAAAGTTATCTTAAGGTTTAATTTAATAACAGAAATGAACAGAATTTACTAATTTTAATAACTGAAAAATAATACGGCTTCATCAGATTTTTTTTTTTTTTTTTTTTTTTTTTTTTTTTTTTTTTTTCAAATTTGTTGCATAACTATTTTTTGCCTCACATATACATGATGGTTAATTAGACAAGGATTACTTAAAACAGAATTCCAACCTTTATCAGTTTTCTTACAAGATACTATTAAATATATGTCTAAACTTATTTTACAGAATATCTATAGTTATAATAGAAAGCATAAGAACAGAATAGCAATAAAAAAAACCAAAAGAAGATTTCAAGAATCAAAAGGGAAAATTATTAAAAGTAATGAGTTATAAAGAAGACCAATTAAAAAAATAATAAAGAGAAACAGAACAGCATACATTATAATAAAAACTTACATTACAATTCGTTTCATTAGATGACAATTCTGAAGATGAAATTCCTGTTTAAAAAAGTACAAAATTCAGTTAGTTCTATCATAATGAATATATATATATATTTAATTTTCAATTAAAGTTTTGCAATTTTTTGCATGTAAATAGGAAAAGAAAAATGTTGTTTCATTTTCACATTGAGTGTTATGACTAAAATTTCTACATGAATATTAGGAAATTCCTTGAAATTTCATAACTATAAATATTTTCGGTAAATGTTGAATTAATCCAAGAATTTCACACTTTTGTCTATAACTTTCTAATACCAGCCATCATTTCCACATTATTTTTTATATTTAAATAACTTCAATATTACATTTTATTAAAATTTGTAAGAAAAATATATTTTACAGTAATCTGGTTCAAAATCAAACCAGAGTTTTGTGCCCTGCATTAGCCCTTAATTTTGCTAAGTATACAGTATACAATCAAACACCGTTTTCAAAGCAGTACAAAGTTGCTTTTCATTGCCTGTGAGTATTGATAAATGGTTCTGATGGAGAATAATAATATTTTTAAACCTAAAATAAATGCTATTTAATGAAAAAATATGTGTGCATAATAATATAATACAATGTCATCAAAATGCATCCTTTAAACAACAAGCTTGATTTCATATAATGGCATTAATTATATATCTAAGATCGTGCTGCTTTTTAAATTATTGACACCAAACCAAAACCACAAATCTGCATATGTAAAGTTTCAGTGTTAATCTTTAAAGTTTTACAATATGGAAAAAAATAATAAAATAAAATAAAAATAAAAATAAAGTATATTCTATGAGATAAATACATAAGATTTATTGTATAGAAGTCATAATTTGGTTTTTCTCAAAAACAAACACACATATTTTAATGCACATTTCTTGAAATAATAATCTTGAAGATAAACAGTTTTGGCAAGGCAGTAACAAAATGAAAATTTTTCAATTACAAAAATATGATACGCATTTAATAATGTGCAAATTATTTGTGATTTCTCACAATGACTATGTGATAGTGCCCTCTTCAAATGCCAATATGAATTTTTGGTTGTGAAGTTTATAGCGAAATTCTTAGTTAAATCCTAGATCATAAAAATTTCATGAAAATGCATAATTTTCTCCATAACCACTCTCCAAATTCTTGCTTTTTCATTATTTTCTGTAATAAGATTACTATTTTCCTTATGACATATGATATTCAACAAACAAACATTATTATGCACATATTATAAATTATTTCTTTGCTAAAGTAAAATATATTATGTGGCAGTGAAACAAAATTCAAAGAAAAGCTTCTAAGGCTGCTATCACATGGCAGTTTATTTCGGAAGAACAACTGTTTAGAACAATTTTTCTGCTTTGTCACGTAATACACAACAGCCAATCACCATAGATCACTTAGGGATTAACATGTAAAGGGGAACTGGTTCTCTACTACAAACACGAAGTTTACCATAATTAGCTATTTTTAGCATAGTTGGCGGCACATTTAGACAGTAGACAGATAGTAGCAATTCTCGGAGGGAGGTAAACACGGCCATCGAATGCAATGTCGAATTCAAAAGAACGTTTCGTTTTAGGAGTGTCTATATTCGCAGCTGCTTTCCTCATCCAGAAAAAAAGAAAGGCCAAAAGAAAAACATGGGCAAGACAATGGCTGTTGAGACAAAAACACTATGCTGCTATGAAAATTTAATGCGTGAACTGGCATTAGAGGTAAGAGCTATTTCAAGTTTAAATATGTGTACATACGCATCCAATGTTTTACAAATAATATGTGGATAGTTTATAATTTATGAAACTTACTTAACACTTTCCATAATGAGTAAAAGAGTTAATTTTTAGGACAGAATTTCATTACAAATGACTGCAGATAGATATTTCAAGATTTTTTTTAAATGCTTTAATTTTGGATATTTTTTTTTCATTCACTTTACATTTTTATGTAGTTATATTTGCACCTGTATGTATGTGTACTGCATGTATTTAACTACATAACAAAATATAAAATATATGTGTGTCTATATTAAAAGCATGAAATTAGGGAATGTTTTATGGTAGTCTTCTGTTATCGGGACCAGATTCAGAAATGTACACACATATACATATGGAGTACATGAACACATCCATCCATACATAAATGCATATATATATACATTTCTGAATCTGGTACTAATAAGAGAAAAGTAAATTTATTTTTCAAATGTTACAAACTATTTAAAATATTCTTTCAAATTTTATGCTGCTTGAATACTTGCATTCTTATTTAGTTTGCTGATTTTAACATTTTAATTATTAGTAATATATGGTGTCAATATTCTGTTCCAGTTAGTTATACTGAATATACACTCTGCTAAATTTTTTTCATTATTTTATTTATTGCCTTCTAAAATTAATTGTGATGATTTGTTCCTCTTTTTGAAAATGTTCCAACATAACCATAAAGAAAGTGTTAAAACAGCCTAAAAACTAGTAAATTTGGCATTTCTCGTTAAAATCATATTAATTATTTTGTATATTTATGTTATTAGATCTGTTTACACTTGATTCTCATGTAAATAACTAATTGTTCAAATATTCAGTACTTTTCTGTTAATGGGACTGGATTCAGAATTGTATGTATGCATGTGCATATATATGTATACACACACATACATATGTACATACTTATATACATTGCATACATGAACACATATATTCATACACACAAGCATATATACATACATTTCTGAATCCAGATTCGGTAACAGAAGAGTACCTGTTTTACTTCCAACACAGAATTTACGGTTAAAAATTCATTTCCAGTTATATTTTTTACCCTCCATTATTCCAAATGCAAATGTTGTGTTTATACAAAAGTCTTTTATCTAGGGAACATTTTGTAATGTCTAGCACTATATTAATTCCGCCACATTTAGGAAGAAATTGCTACATATTTTTACTTAAAGTGGAATTTCCCAATGTGTTTTGGTGCCCTAGATGGCAAGCACATTAAAATTAAAACCTCCACCTGGTTCTGGTTCAACATACTATAACTATTAAAGGGTGATTTTAGTATTGTCTTACTAGCATTGGTTGATGCTAACTTAGAATTTATATATGTTGATGTAGAAATGAACGGAAAAATCAATGATTGAGGTGAGTGGCACCAAACCCTTTGCCAGGATTGTTAATGTCCCATATGTCATAGTCGCAGATGATGCTTTTCCACTAACCCAATACATTATGAAGCCATATCACGGAAAGCATCTAACAAAAGGAAAAAGAATTTTTAATTACAGACTGTCATGAGCAAGATTAATTGTAGAAAATGCATTTGGCATTCTAGCTGCCAGATTTCGACTTTTCGGAACAACAATATGGACATAGCCACAAAAGGCTCAATACTTTGTTTTAGCTGCTTGCTGTCCACATAACCTGTTGCACAGCAAAAAAGAAACAAAAAATTTATAAGAAGAAAATCTTCCTTCTTCATGAACATAAGTTTAGATGCTGAGGATTTAGAAAATAATTGTATAAGAAAAGAACATGGAACGAAAGTACATCTAAATTTATTTCATTGCAGCGAAGTGCACGCAATGTTTCACAGGAGGCAAAAGAAGTCAGAGATCGATTTTGCAATTATTTAAATGATATTGGATCTATTCCCTGGCAAGAAGCCATGTGCAACTTACATGTGTGTTAAGTAATATATTAACATGTGTAGTAATAACATAGTAACATAACACATGTAGTAACATGTGTGTTAAGTAATATATTTATCAATCAATATTATGAAAGAAATGTTCTACTTACTGCCTTTAAGAATAAATGTATGTGTGTTTATAGATTATGTGTAATTAATTTGAACCATTATATTTATAAATTATAACTTTGTAATTGCTACTTAGCAAGATGTTCAGTTAATTTTCATTGAGAGATAAAATAACTTAAATATGATATCTTAACTCCTTTGTTTTAATTTATTCTGCATGTTCCAATACATACTCATATATATCTCACATAGTTCCTAATTATTAATAATTTATTAAAGCACCTAGTATATTCTTAATCATATATACAAACACACATAAAAACACTGAATCACTTTATTATATTTCATCTGTTAATGACTGCCATGAAATTGCAGCAAATTTATAATTAGAAAGAGAAAACATTAGAAAAAGAAATAAATAAACAATTATATTCATGCCTAACAAAATTTTATTGTGAATATTTAAATTCATAGATTTGGATTTGTTTCATTATCAGTTCGTTCCTGATCAGAAGGACACTTCACTGTCTTCAGTTGACCAGCAACATACGATACAAACAAGTCATTTTCATCTTTTTCTTCTGTCATGCTTTAAACTTTTTGTTATTGTTGTGAAAAACTCATCTTCTGGTTTTTTTTTCTTTTCCTGCTCATGCCTGAAGCAACCAATTGAGTTCCAGATATTTTGGGAGTTTTCAATGGATTGCTTGTTGCTTCTGTACTTGCAGAAGGAAGACTTTCTTCTGGAAAAGTTTCAGTTTCTTGAACAAAATTCTGAAAGAAAAAGAATATTAAAAAAATGAATTTTCTATCAACTCTATTAATTAATGAACAATAAATCTGATTCAACTGAAATTATGAATAAAGTTATTTAATAAAAGGAATAAAATGCTTAGACATAAAATTATGGGAATAGTAAAATGGCTAAATTAAAATAGATGACTATGTAAATTCGAAGTAGGTTAATAGGTTCTTCTGGCAAAGGCTACTTATGTGAAGGATAGCAGAGTAAAATAAATTCAAACTAAGTTTATCAGTCCAAAGGAGCATTTTGCCCAGAATGACTACTAATTTTTTTCGCATTTGATTCAATATAAGCTTTGTTTCACTTTTCAAATTGTTGCCACCAAATATTATCCCCTGTATAATATTTAAAGAAATTAAATAATGAAGAATCTGCATAAATATATGTTTCTCACAGTGTGATAAAACAATGGTACCTAAGGCCATCAAATTTTCAATAACGTAATCCTCTTATGAATATGGGC